TTTTATTAGCATTTTAAAAATAAATTAACAGTATCATTTTTATTTTCTGTTAATTTCTTTGTCTTCTTATTATTACAATAAAATGTTGCTATCTCTCTCTCTTTTCCATCATACACACTGCACACATATACATTAATATCACAAGAAACAGAGAGAGGAGAGAGGTAATAGAGAATGAAGTAGGCAAAAAGGGAAGGGAAAGAATTAAAGTGATATACACTAATGAGTCGAAGGAACATAGAAACTGAATGTGATATACAAAGTCATTCCGCCTCTAATACATACCTTATTGTATAAAATTTTATGTACACAGTCAATACAATGACCTCATTAAAACTAAATGAGAAATATTTAACAGGTTGTAAAGAGACAATAAGTAGATGAGGTGAAGTAACAATTAATAATAATATAAATCCTCATATATATTGTTCATAGTCACCTCATCTTATTAATAACCCAGTGATCATCAGTAAGTGCTTGTTGCTGGTACCAATGAACTGCCTCTTGAGACTGACTTAGCTCCCTATCCTTCTCCTGTAATTTAGTTAGAGCTTTAAGCTATGGAGAGTAAGAATGTATCAGGAAATGTAAGAAAAATTTGGGGTGATTTCGGAGCCATTTTTTGGAAAAAAAGCATGGGCTATAATAGCCTTGGGTATTTTTCAAAAAATTGCAAATTTCTTATAAATGGTTATAACTTTTAAAATTTAAGTAGGAATCAGCTCAAACTTTCTACATAGCATAAGGACATCAATATGTATCAGAAAATATAATAAAAATTTGGAGTCATTTTAGAGCCATTTTTTGGGAAAAGCCATGGGCTATAGGACAGGTATTTTTCAAAAAATTGGCCAATTTCTTAAAATAGCTGTAACTTGAAAAATTGAAGTAGGAATCAGCTCAAACTTTCTACACAGCATAAGGACATCAGAAAATTTAATAAAAATTTGGGGTGATTTTGGAGCCATTTTTGAAAAAAAAACCATGGGCTATAGTACAGAAAATTTGTCAAAAACAGGCCTTTAAAAAAAACAGGCATAACTTAAAAAATTGATGTCAGAATCACCTCAAACTTTCTACATAGCATAAGGGCATCAATATATATCAGAAAATGTAATAAAAATTTGGGGTGATTTCGGAGTCATTTTTTGGAAAAAACCATGGGATTTTTTTTAAATTGGCCAATTTCTTAAAATGGCCATAACTTTATAAATTTAAGTCGGAATCACCTCAAACCTTCTAGACAGCATAAGGATATCAATTTGTATCAGAAAATGTAATAAAAATTGGGTGATTTTGGAGTCATTTCTTGACAAAACTTGGGCTATAGTACAGGGATTCAAAAACTGGCCAATTTCTTAAAATGGCCGTAATTTAAAAAATTGAAGTCGGAATCACCTCAAACTTTCTACCCATCATAAGTACATCAGTACATTATTATTATCCTCTTACCCTCTCACTAGTGACTTCCCTTCAACACGAGCCAGTACTACTCTCTCTTTATCATCATGCCCAATGGCAGCACGAGCTGAAGTGATCCGTACAAAGTTATTCATGCTAATACCTCTGGAGTTACGAGAGCACTCAACGTACATACTCTTATTAACATTATTAGTTCCATTCCTCACTAACCATATAACACCTGTCAATAGGAATCGGAATGGATTGATCTCATTAAATACTTCATCATCAGATATGTACCCAACCATTATAGTACCGTCTTCTTTGATACCAAAATTAGCATCTTGTATACTCCCT